TTTTCTTTCTTTGAGTATTTGCATGTATTCCAAAGTTCCATGCATTTTGCAATAAGGTGGCTTCCCTTGGTTTGCAGCCACCTGCCTATCATCATTGCGTTTTTTCAGTTCCACCCTTTTCCCCAGGGCTCAGGAAGGAAAGGGAGCCATTTTAGCTTAGTCTTACAGTTGAAAGCTTAGCTACAGGACATGAATCAGCTCCACCTGTAGAGAAGCTTCGTTTCTTATGAAATTCCAGGGGAAACAGTTCCAAAGGACTCCAGCTGGAGAATCTACAAAGCCTTGACTGGTAGGTCTACTCGGGACCCAAGAAGCAGTTTGGAGCCGGGAGTAGAGCCCACACCAGCAAAGTTTAGAAAGTAGATTGCCCAAGGAGGGGTTAAAAAGGGTTTTCCTCTTAAAGAAAAGAAACAGTTCATGAAGCCAGTTGCCTGTCCCTTGTGGACAAGATTAAGAAAGCCACCAGTTGATTCAAAGCCTTGAAGTATTTGTTTGACCTGTTGAAGATCTGAGAAGTATTTGATTGTTTTGTTGAAGACCTAAGCAATAATAAAGGACTTTGTTAAACTTTTCAAGCTTCTAAAGACTTTGTATAGGAAAATCCTTAGGGCCTCTCAGCTGAGGCACCCCGGCTTCCCGCTGGGCACAGTGGCTGTGATTGATCTGTTCCTGCCTTGCTGTGCTGCTGATGCCACTGACAATACAATTGCTTTGACTATGTGGACTTTGGTTGCCAGTGTGATGTCTCTACTCTTCACTATTTTATCGAGATTGGACATTGCTCTCCTCCCAAGAAAATCAAAAGAAAATACAGTGGATACTCATTGGGCATAGATGTACATGTAATATAATACTACAGAATATGTAACATTTCTTTGTTAGCTGATGTGGTTATACATAGCAACAATACAGGACAGAACCATAAAGAAACATAGCAAGGTCTAGGATACTGGCATTTGTCCTTCTAAAAAGTGATTGGGGCAGTTATGTTTATTTTGTTGTTATTCATGTCCCACATTCTCACGAGACTCAAAGCAGCTGAATATGTTGCATGCATTGTTTTTGTTTGGACTTGAACCCGAACACGTTCAAGTTGCTTCCAAGGAAAATGCAGATTTCACCCCAAAGCCTGAAGGTACCACAGAACGCCATTGTGTTGACTTCCCAGGAAAAAAAGTAAACAGGAATGCAACCAATGCCTCGAAGGCGTGTTTTATACGTGTTGCAATGTTACCTTTCATTGTTCCAGAAGGAGGAGTCAATAAAGACACCGGTCATGCAAAGAAACTCACAAATTTTGTATTTTGTCTGTTTGTTTGCTTTGTTCTGTTAGAAATGTAATATAATTGACTGGTTGCCCTGACACGACAAATAAATAAATGCAAAGAAACACCTTTTCTTTGGCAATTTAATTCTTGTCCCTTGCAGCCAAAGGATTGCTTTCAAACAGATGCATCCAGTGGAGTGAGAAAAGGAAATAACACACAGAACACCTAAATTGTCAGTGCTCAGAATGAACAGCATCTTGTGGAGTTCTTCAGTAATAACAACAATTATAATAATCATGTTACCATGGAGCCTATCATGTAATGGTCTTTAATAATAATAATAATAATTATTATTATTATTATTATTATTATTTGAAACACAAGGTGAGTCCACAGCAGACACACTGCTGGCTGTTGTATTGGATCACACGTCGGACACTTCCCAAGTGTCTAGGACTGTGTGATGTATTGGCGAATGATGCATGCAGATCCCAGTAAGGTGGCCTTCTGCAGCTGGCAGATGGTAATCTTGTCAGCGCCAATTGTGCTTAAGTGCAGGCCAAGGTCTTTAGGCACTGCACCCAGTGTGCCGATCACCACTGGGACCACCTTTACTGGCTTGTGCCAGTCTTTGCAGTTCGATCTTTAAATCTTCATATCGTGTCAGCTTTTCCAGTTGTTTCTCTTCAATCCTGCTGTCACCTGGGATTGTGACATCGACAATCCATACTTTGTTTTTTAACACGATCTACTTCCACTACTATTATTACTTTTATTATTATTATAATTAACTAGCTGAACCCGCCACGCGTTGCTGTGGCCAACCTTCCCCCTATCTCCCCTTCTTTCCCTCCTTCCTTCACTCCGTTTCCTTCCTTCCTTCCCGTCTTTCCTTCTCTCCTTCCTTCCTTCTCTATCGCTTTCCTTCCTTCCCCCTTTTTCTTTCTCTTCTGCTGTGTCTCTTTTCTTCCTTCTCTCTTTCCTCCTTTCTTTCCCTCCCTCTTTCTCTACATTTTATCCCCTTCCTTCGCTCCCTCTTTCCTTCCTTCTTCCTTTTTCTCTTCTGCAGTCTCTCTTTTCTTCCTTCTCTCTTTCCATCTTTCCTTCCCTCCCTCTTTCTCTACATCTTCCCCCCTTCCTTCGCTCCTTCTTCCCTTTTTTCTTTCCTTCTCTCCTTCCTTCTTTCTCTAACTTTCCTTCCTCCCCCTTTTTCTTTCCCTCCCTCTTTCTCTCCTTTCTTCCTTTTCTACCTCATTCCTTCCTTCTTGCTTTCCCTCCCTCTTTCTCTCCTTTCTTCCTTTTCTACCTCATTCCTTCCTTCCTTCTTTCTTTCCCTCCCTCTTTCTCTCCTGTCAGGGGTGATTTGAATGCAATATTCCTGCTTCTTGGCAGAATGGGGTTGGACTGGATGGCCCATGAGGTCTCTTCCAACTCTTTGATTCTATGATTCTATGATTCTTCCTTGACAGATTAGAAGGGGGCGTGGCTTGGAGGTAACGTGAGGAGGGTAGAGGGAGGAGGGGAGGGGGGATGGGTTTAGAAGGGGGCGTGGCTTGGAGGTAACGTGAGGAGGGAGGAGGGAGGGGGGGTGGGTGTAGAAGGGGGCGTGGCTTGGTGAGGTGAGGGGGGATGGGTTTAGAAGGGGGCGTGGCTTGGAGGTAACGTGAGGAGGGAGGAGGGGAGGGGGGATGGGTTTAGAAGGGGGCGTGGCTTGGGGGTAACGTGAGGAGGGAGGGGGATGGGTTTAGAAGGGGGCGTGGCTAGGAGGTAACGTGAGGAGGGTAAGAGGGAGGAGGGGAGGGGGGATGGGGGAGCGCGCGCGCGTGTGTGCCGCGCGGGGGGTGAGGGGGCGCACGCGCGCGTGTGTGCCGCCAGGGGGTGAGGGGGCGCGCGCGTGCTGTGCCGCACCGGAGGGGGGAGAGGGGGCGCGCGCGCGCATGTGTGCGTGTGTGCCACGCGGGTGTGAGGGGGCGCGTGCGCGTGTGTGCATGTGTGTGTGTGCCGCGCCGAGGGGGGAGAGGGGGCGCGTGCGCGCGTGTGTGTGCTGTGTGTGTGTGCCGCGCCGGGGGGGGAGAGGGGGCGCGGCGCGCGTGTGTGCCGCGCCAGGGGGTGAGGAGAGGGTGCACGCGTGTGTGTGTGTGCCGCGCCGGGGGGGAGGGGGCCGTGCGCGCGCGTGTGTGTGCCGCGCGGGGGGGGGGGGGGGGCCATGTGTGTGCGCGCGCCAGGGAGTTTGCGCCAGTGCGCATGCTCAGTTGCTTTGCCGTTTATTGTGGTTGTTGTTGTGTGTTTTTGATTTCTGACTGGATTAGTTTGTACCTTGTTGGTTGCCCTTGGGGCATGGGAAGTTTGGTGGAGTTTCGTTGGGGTTTTTTAGAGTTTTGTTTCCTCATACGACGCCAGGAGGAAATTTATATATATAGAAGATGGATGGATGACATCCTTGAAGTGACTGGATTGACCTTGAAGGAGCTGGGGGTGGTGACGGCTGACAGGGAGCTCTGGCGTGGGCTGGTCCATGAGGTCATGAAGAGTTGGAAACAACTGAACGTATGAACAACAATATCATCATCATCATCATCATCATTATTACTGGAAAAGCTGCACAATATGAGGATTTAAAGATCGAACTGCAAAGACTCTGGCACAAGCCACTCAAGGTGGTCCCAGTGGTGCAGTGCCTAAAGACCTTGACCTGCACTTAAATACAATCGGCACTGACAAAATCAACATCTGCCAGCTGCAAAAGGCCACCCTACTTTGATTTGCATGCATTATTCGCCGATACATCACAGAGTCCTAGACACTTGGGAAGTGTCCGACATGTGATCCAATACAACAGCCAGCAGAGTGATCTTGTCTGCTGTGGACTCATCTTGTGTTTCAAATAATAATAATAATAATAATAATAATAATAATAATAATAATAATAACAACAGCAACAACTTGGGAAGTGTCTGACGTGTGATCCAATTCAACAGCCAGCAGAGAGTCTGCTGTGGACTCATCTTGTGTTTCTAATAATAATAATAATAATAATAATAATAATAACAACAACAACAACAACAACAACAACAACAAAACAACATGTCCAACGTATGATCCAATACAACAACCAGCAGAGTGATCTTGTTTGTTGTATACTAATCTTGTTGTGTTTCAAATAATAATAATAATGATGATGATGATAATAATAATTTTGGAATCAGAAGGTTAAATAAACCCAGAAACAGGGCTAACATTGGAAACCTAAAATGTGCATTGGCCAATGTAATTTCTATTTTTTATTGGCTTCTCTATTATTATTATCATTACTATTATTATTATTATTTTAGAAACACAACAAGATGAGTCCACAGCAGACACTCTGCTGGCTGTTGTATTGGATCACACGTCGGACACTTCCCAATTATTATTATTATTATTATTATTATTATTATTATTATTATTATTATGCAAAAGGATGTATTCATGGAACTGGTTTAAAACAGCTTAACATCTACACTGCAGACTGAATGCAGTCTTTTTAGCCTTTTTAACTGCCATGGCAAGGCAATGGAAGCCCTGGGAGTTGCAGTTTTACAAAGAATGCAAACTACAGATCAAATGATTTCTATAGCAGCTAACGTGGTACCAAACTTCATTCATTCTACAGTGTAGAGATGCATCCAAGGTCTGCTCTGGGTTCTCTTATGACCTTGGAAGGATTAAAGAAATGGAACCAAATCATTGGAAGGATTAAAGAAATGGAACCAAATCATTGTTTCTCCACGAGATTCTACAGATAGCGAGGTGCCAGTTATTCCTCCATTCAGTTAACTGAAAAACACAAAGTCAGCAGACCTGATGGGATCCCTGTTGAAAACTTTAAAGGTGGTGGACCTGAGCTGACACAACAACTCCAGCAGTTCAATCATTGTTTCTTCACGGGTTCTGCAGATAGCAAGTTGCCAATTATTCCACCATTCAATCACCTGAAAAATAACAAAGTCAGCGGACCTGATGGGATCCCTGTTGAGATCTTTAAAGGTGGTGGACCTGAGCTGACACAACAACTCCAGAAGCTCAATCATTGTTTCTTCACGGGTTCTGCAGATAGCAAGTTGCCAGTTATTTCACCATTCAATCACCTGAAAAATAACAAAGTCAGCGGACCTGATGGGATCCCTGTTGAAATCTTTAAAGGTGGTGGACCTGAGCTGGCACAACAACTCCAGCAGCTCATTGAAAAAGTGTGGACGATCGAGAAAATCCCAGCAGGCTTCATCATCACCCGTCTCTGGTGTCATCTGTCTCCCTCCTCCCTGGTTTTGACGAAGGCCCCCATCTGCTTGGTATGGGTGTTCTGGAGCTGCTCCAGCTGCCTCTGTCCACGGCGGAGAAGGTACTCTACGAGCAGGACCTCTGTCCGTGGGATCTGTGCGTTCTGCCGGAACTCGGCTCGGATCTGCGGCAGGAAGCCTGGCTTGCCTTTCCCGGCCCGAAGGAAGCTGCGGTACAAGGACAGCACCTGCCTCTGGAGCTTACTGTGGCGGCCCATGGAGCAGCTCCTCCCAGTTGCAAGGATGGAGTGCTCCCGGTAAGCAAAGCCTGAGGAACAAAGCGGAAGTGTCAAGATAAGAGTCAAGGGGAATTAAATAGGCCAACCTGTATGCGTCGTTCTACTTTTAATACGTTTTGGAGATCTCAAATTGCATTGTTGTTGTTTTTAATGTTGTGAATCACTTTGTATCTCCATTGAAAGCGGGATATGATTATATAATATCGTCATCATCAACAGAAGCCCTTTTATTATTTGAATGCCAGCCCTACAATAAGTAATAATAGCAGCCCTATAATAACAATAGAAGCTCTTTCATTACTTTAAGAGCAGCCCTATAATAACAACAATAATAATAAATAACAGCCTCTTTATTGTTTTATTAGCAATCCAATAATAGTAATAATAATATAATAGCCCTTTTATTATTTGAATACCAGCCCTACAATAAGTAATAGCAGCCCTATAATAACAATAGAAGCTCTTTTATTACTTAAATAGCAGCCCTATAATAATAATAATAATAATAATAATAATAACAGTTGCTTTATTATTTTAATAACAACCCAATAATAGTAATAATATGATAACTCTTTTATTATTTGAATACCAGCCCTGCAATAATAATAATAATAATAAACAGTCTCTTTATTATTTTAATAGCAATCCAATAATAGTAATAATAATATAATAGCCCTTTTATTATTTGAATAGCAGCACTATAATAACAATAGAAGCTCTTTTATTACTTTAATAGCAGCCCTATAATAATAATAATAATAACGATAAGTCTCTTTATTATTTTAATAGCAATCCAATAATAGTAATAATAATATAATAGCCCTTTTATTATTTGAATAGCAGCACTATAATAACAATAGAAGCTCTTTTATTGCTTTAATAGCAGCCCAATAATAATAATAATAATAATAATAATAATAATAATAATAAATAACAGTCTCTATATTATTTTAATAGCAACCCAATAATAGTAATAATAATATAATAGCCCTTTTATTATTTGAATACCAGCCCTACAATAAGTAATAGCGGCCCTATAATAACAATAATAATAATAAATAACAGTCTCCTTTTTATTTCATTAGCAACCCAATAGTAATAATATAATAGCCCTTGAATAGCAGCCCTATAATAACAATAACAAATAACTTTATTATTTTAATAGCAGCCTAATAATAATAATAATAATAATGATAATAATAACCCTTTTATTAAGTTAATACCAGCCTAACCATAATAATTAATAGCCCTTCTATTATTTTAATAGCAACCTAATAATAATAATAATAATAATCTTTTTATTATGTTAATACCTGCCTAATAATAATTAGTAGCCCTTCTATTATTTTAATAGCAGCCTAATAATAATAACAACCCTTTTATTATGTTAATACTAGCCTAATAACAATAATTAGTAGACCTTCTATTATTTTAATAGCAGCCTAATAATAATAACTCTTATTATGTTAAAACCAGCATAATAATAATAAATAGCCCTTCTATTATTTTAATAGCAGCCTAATAATAATAATAATAATAATAATAATAATAATAATAATCCTTTTATTATGTTAATACCAGCCTAATAATAATTATTAGACCTTCTATTATTTTAATACCAGCCTAATAATAATAATAATAGCCCAGGGATGTAGGAAATCCATATTGGCTGGCCTTCAGGATTTGGGGGGAAAGGGTCAAGGGCAGTTCTGGTGTATTGTCGAAGGCTTTCATTTATTTATTTATTTATTTACTGCATTTGTTGACCGCCGTTCTCAGCCCTAGGGCGACTCACGGCGGTGTACAACATATAAATGGCTGGAATCACTAGGTTCTTGTGGGTTTTTTCGGGCTATATGGCCATGTTCCAGAGGCATTTCTCCTGACGTTTCGCCTGCATCTATGGCAAGCATCCTCAGAGGTAGTGAGGTCTGTTGGAATTAGGACAATGGGTTTATATATCTGTGGAATGGCTGGGGTGGGGCAAAGAGCTCTTTTCTGCTGGAGCTGGGTGTGAATGTTTCAACTGACCACCTTCATTAGCATTTGAAGGCCTGGCTGAGCCTGGGAAAATCTTTTGTTGAGAGTGTTAAGATGTGCCTGGTTGTTTCCTCTCTGCTGTTTTGCTGTTGTAATTTTAGAGTTTTTTTTAATACTGGTAGCCAGATTTTGTTCATTTTCATGGTCTCTTCCTTTCTGTTGAAATTGTCCACATGCTTGTGGATTTCAATGGCTTCTCTTTGTAGTCCCAGGCTCAGCCAGGCCTTCAAATGCTAATGAAGGTGGTCAGTTGAAACAGTCACACCTAGCTCCAGCAGACAAGAGTCCTTTGTCCCACCCTGGTCATTCCACAGATATATAAACCCATTGTCCTAATTCCAACAGACCTCACTACCTCTGAGGATGCTTGCCATAGATGCAGGCGAAACGTCAGGAGAGAATGCCTCTAGAACATGGCCCTATAGCCCGAAAAAACCCACAAGAACCTAGTTCTGGTGTGTCCATCATGCAACCTCATGGCGACCCCACCAGTCCCAGAGCTGGTCCTGCCCGTCCCTTCTCTTTGCCGGACTCTCACCCAGGCTGCCCCCCTTTGGGACCCCCTCCTGCCCTTCTACCGGGCTCCCTTCTCGCTCACTCCTTCTCTCTTCCGGCTTTCAGCTCCTAGCCAGGCCCAAGCCCGCCATTGCAGAAACCTTGGCGCGCCATCTGGGCGTTCTGCGCGCTTCCCATTGGCTCCCTGGCCCTAGAGGGGGCGTTCCCCAACTCTTGTCGCTCCGCCCATTCAAAGCACGTGTAAACAAGGAAGCACCGCCTATTTAGAATCCTAGACTGGAAGAGACCTGGTTGTCCATCCAGTCCACTCCCATTCTGCCAAGAAGCAGGACAATTGGGTTGTTGTAGGTTTTTCCGGGCTATATGGCCATGTTCTAGAGGCATTCTCTCCTGACATTTCGCCTGCATCTATGGCAAGCATCCTCAGAGGTCTGTTGGAAGTAGGAAAATGGGTTTATATATCTGTGGAAGACCAGGGTGGGACAAAGGACTCTTGTCTGCTGGAGCTAGGTGGGAATGTTTCAACTGACCACCTTGATTAGCATTTGATGGCCTGGCAGTGCCTGGAGCCAACTGGCTACCGATTTGCTACTGGGCTCAATTCAAAGTGCTGGTGTTGACCTTTAAAGCCTAAACGGTTCCGGCCCAAGCTACCTATCCGACCGCATCTCACCAGGACTTTGAGATCTTCCGGGGAGGCCCTGCTCTCGATCCCGCCAGCTTCACAAGCACGACTGGCGGGGACGAGAGATAGGGCCTTCTCGGTGGTGGCTCCCCGGCTGTGGAACGCCCTTCCCACGGACATTAGATTAGCACCATCTCTGGTGGTATTCCGCAAAAAGTAAAGACCTGGTTGTTTGTGCAGGCGTTCGAGTAGTTAGTGCAATGATTGGTAATGACATAGGAATGGAACAATGGATGACGGATCTGGATCGTGTTTTTAGTGATGAGACGTTATTGAATGGTTATTATAGTAATTGTGTACTAACTGTGTATTAGATAGGTTGTTAATTGTTTTTTATTGATGCATTGAATTTTGCTGTTTCCTATGTGCTGTGAACCGCTGTGAGTCGCCTTCGGGCTGAGAACAGCGGTATAGAAGTAAAGTAAAGTAAGTAAAGTTTTGTTGAGAGGTGATTAGCAGGACAATTGTGTTCAAAGCACCCCCGACAGATGGCCATCCAGCCTCTGTTTCAAAGCCTCCACCACACGGATGATGAATTTGATTCAAACAGTAATGAAAGTAAGATTCTTTTTCACCTTTCTACAGCGGCCAGAATCCAACTGGCCAGACTCTGGAAATCCAGAGAAGTCCCTACAACAGAACAGTGGTTAATAAAATCATACGAGGTGATGAACATGGACCTCCTAACTCAGAGACGAAGAGTCCAAGGAAGTAAAAAGAAAAGCACAGACTGGAGTGACTTTAAGAACTACATTGATGAGAAGATATAAAAAATACTTGAAGAAACTGAAAATAGTATAGGATGAGGGCTGATGTTTTATCAGTCAATATGTTTGTTATACAAGAGAGGAATACCTGCCTGTTCAACCTGGAAGTCGTTGTATTTTATATTCCCCTCCCCATCTATCCTCCCCCCCTTCCCCCCACGACCAATCTCAGTTATAATCACTACCCTCACCCCCCCCCACCCTACCAGCCCTCCCGTATCCTTCCCCCCCCTGAATTGTCCGCCACTTTCTGATGTTTTAAATGTGTATTGAAATTTTTTGCAATAAAGATATATTTTAAAAAAAAGCCTCCACCACACTCCGGGGCAGAGAGTTCCACTGCTGAACAGCTCTCACAGTCAGGAAGTTCTTCCTCATGTTCAGGTGGAATCTCCTTTTTGTAGTTTGAAGCCATTGTTCCATGTCCTAGTCTCCAGGGCAGGCAGAAACCAAGCTTTCTCCCTCCTCCCTATGACTTCCTCTCTCATCTTGATCCATGGCCCTCATCATGTCTCCTCTCAGCCTTCTCTTCTGAAGTCTAAACATGCCCAGCTCTTTAAGCCGCTCCTCATAGGGCTTGTTCTCCAGACCCTTGATCATTTGAGTCGCCCTCCTCTGGACACATTCCAGCTTGTCAATATCTCTCTTGAATTGTGGTGCCCAGAATTGGACACAATATTCCAGGTGTGGTCTAACCAAAGCGGAATAGAGCATGGGGAGCATGACTTCCCTGGACCTAGACACTAGGCTCCTATTGATGCAGGCCAACATCCCATTGGCTTTTTTTGCCGCTACATCACATTGTTGGCTCATAAGGCATTGAAGGCATTGTTCCATTGCATCCTAGTCTCTGTTGTTCATTCTTTCAGTCGTCTCCGACTCTTCGTGACCTCATGGACCAGCCCACGCCAGAGCTCCCTGTCGGCCGTCACCAGCCCCAGCTCCCTCAAGGTCAGTCCAGTCACTTCAAGGTCTCTAGGGCAGTAGAAAACAAGCTTGCTCCCTCCTCCCTATGACTTCCCCTCACATATTTGTACATGGCCCTCATCATGTCTCCTCTCAGCCTTCTCTTCTTCAGGCATTTTGCGTGAACTGTCTAATAATTTCACAAACCCCGATAACATCTAGACATTTGATAATGTAACAATGTTAACAGTTCTAATCACAGAGGAGGAGGGTTTTTGGTGGGAGGATTCCACCAAATGATTATAGTCGCTCTCCTCTGGACACATTCCAGCTTTGTCAACATCTCTCTTCAGTTGTGGTGTCCAGAATTGGATGCAGTGTGATTCCAGGCAGAATAGAGCATGACTTCCCTGGTTCTGGACACTCTACTTCTATTGACACAGGCCAAAATCTGTCTCCTCCTGCACAGAAACCCTAAGAGAGCCTAGACGGTCCTCACAATGGGTTGTTGTAGGTTTTTTCGGGCTATATGGCCATGTTCTAGAGGCATTCTCTCCTGACATTTCGCCTGCATCTATGCAAGCATCCTCAGAGGTCGTGAAGACTGTTGGAACTAGGAAAATGGGTTTATATATCTGTGGAAAGACCAGGGTGGGACAAAGGACTCTTGTCTGCTGGAGCTAGGTGGAATGTTTCAACTGACCACCTTGATTAGCATTTGATGGCCTGGCAGTGCCTGGGGCAATCTTTTGTTGAGATGATTAGATGTCCCCGATTGTTTTCCCTCTGCTGTTTTAACTTTATAGAGTTTTTTTTAAATACTAGTAGCCAGATTTTGTTCATTTTCATGGTTTCCTCCTTTCTGTTGAAATTGTCCACATGCTTGCGGATTTCAGTGGCTTCTCTGTGTAGTCTGACATGGTGGTTGTGAGAGTGGTCCTCACAATATTGCTGGACATAGGAGACTGTCCTTACATACTGTGATAGGCTTTATGGCTCCCACACTATAGAATTAATGCAGTTTGAATTAAGTTGGCTTTTAAGATAATTTCAGGGATCCTGTAGTAATAATAATAATAATAATAATAATAATAATGAACAACTTTGGGTTGCTGTGAGTTTTCCAGGCTGCCTAGCCATATTCCAGAAGCATTCTCTCCTGACCTTTCGCCCAGTTCCACGGCAGGCATCCTCAGAAGTTGTGAGGTCTGTCGGAAACTACAACTCCCATCATTCCATAGCTTTGAGCCAAGGCAGTTCCAAATGGGATCATAGAAGACCTAGAGCATGAAGGGACCCACAAAAGCCACCTTTCTGCCAGGCAGGAAGATACCATCCGATCCCTCCTAGCAGATGGCCATCCAGCCTCTGCTTAAAAACCTCCAGAGGGCAATCCAACACACTCCCAGGCAACAGCATATTCTAGCATGCATACATACATACAGTGGGGGGGGGGGGGGAGTATTTAGTCAGATAGGAATTGTAGTTCTCCCACTTAAAATTAGAGATATTGTTTCTCATAGTTGAGGTCTACCTATGATGTCAATCACAGGCCTCTCTCATCTTTTTAAGTGGGAGAACTTGTACAATTCCTATCTGACTAAATACTTTTTTCCCCACTGTACACACAAACATATCTAGGTAAAGGTAAAGGTTTCCCTTTGCTGTTAAGTCCAGTCATGTCCGACTCTGGGGGTTGGTGTTCATCTCCATTTCTAGGTCGAAGAGCCGGCGTTGTCCGCAGACACCTCCAAGGTCATGTGGCCGGCATGACTACCTGGAGCTCCTGTTACCTTCCTGCAGAAGTGGCATCTATTGATCTACTCACATCTGCATGTATACGAACCCACACGATTTCTTTGTTCATCAGGAGAGGCCCTGCTCTCGATCCCGCCAGCATCGCAGGCGCGATTGGTGGGGATGAGAGGGCCTTTTCGGTGGTGGCCCCTCGACTCTGGAACTCACTCCCTAAGGACATCAGACAGGCCCCAACTATGGCAGTTTTCAGGAGGAGCTTGAAGATGTGGTTGTTCCAGTGTGCCTTCCCGGATTAATGATCCCATAGCACTTTGTCCCTCTAAAGCACTTTACATTTTTTAGGTCTGCCCATATGTCTCTCCACAAATGCCACTATCACCTGTTTGTCCATGTTCAGCACTATTTCCAATTTTAATTTTACATTTGGCCTTCCCATAGTTTTAATTGTATGTTGTCTTATTGATAAAGTTATATGCTTATGTTTTTTTAAAATTGCTTGTATTATTGTGATTATTGCTTGTATTGTGTGTTAGGGCTTGGCCTCATGTAAGCTGCACCGAGTCCCTTGGGGAGATGGTAGCAGGGTACAAATAAAGTGTTACTATTATTATTATGTTTTCGAACTGCTAGGTTAGCAGGAGCTGGGGCAACAGCGGGAGCTCACCCGCTCCCTGGATTCGGACCGTCGGCCTTTTGGTCAGCAAGTTCCACAACTCAGTGGTTTAACCAAAACCTTTGGATGGCATAGGGAAGGGTTTACATGCCTGTGGTGTTTGTTTTACTATCTGTGCCCTTCAGCTTTCACTGCCTGAACATCAAACAAAAAGTGGGTGCTAGAAACAGTATCATACGAAAGCTGACTGGCACAACCTGGGGATCACAACCAGACACAGTGAAGACATCTCCCCTTTGCTACTCTGCTGCTGAGTACGCATGCCCAGAGTGGAACACATCTCACCACGCTAAAACAGTAGATGTGGCTCTTAATGAGACATGCCGCATTATCATGGGATGTCTGCGCCCTCCACCACTGGAGAAATTACACTGTCTAGCCCAGGGGTCC